ATTGATATAATGATTTTTTTTGTAAATATTATCTAAAAAATGTGCATAACAATTTTTAATAGAACGATGGTGTGAAATGGTGAAAATGATAAGATCGCGCTCGTGTTTACTTTTGGAAAATAACTAGTTATCTTTAAATCGATAATATTTATCGAAGCGATTGGCAATCTTTGGACAACCGTTTCTTCAGAATCTGTGATCTGAACAGATACTTATATCGTGTAATGCGAACCGAGATCTCGCTATAAAAGCCGACCGGTTGTTGCCTCGGAATTGAAGTCATTGAAATTCTGCGTGTCCTCCGATTCCGATATAATAAAGATTATACCATATATATACTCATATCCGGTATCATTAATGTTCCTCCGTGTGGAAGAAAAGTGCACGTGGGATTTGAAAACTCCATCTATTCATCTGCATAGAAGACGTGATTGCGTTTTTGAAATAACGCGACTAGCTCTTGATGATATTGAGGTTTCCGGTCCTTTTGCCTCTCATTAGCGTTCGCTAATTAATTAGCAATTAGGAGAATTGAAATTCTACTGACAAATGCGAAAACACGCGATCCAATGTTATTAATATTATCAAGTAAATTATTAAAATCGTGGAATTGTTATATCATTCATTTTATCACATCGATAATATTGTTATAGCATTTATTTACAAAATATTTTAATAACACTATATATCTGTATACGTACAAAAAATAAATAATTTCATTTATTCTATTTCGTAATATAATTATAAAAATATTTAAATTAGATAAAATACAGTTAATATAAGCACTTTGTCTTTGCAAATTTAATTACGTATTAAATACATACATGTAGACATAATTCAGATGATATATGATTATATATACATACATACGTACCTATATATGTATAACTTATAAGTAACACTACCCAAGTGCCATACGCCGATTTCCCTGAGACTATGCATACATGTAGTACATTGAAAAATATCTCTGACTCATATTTTTTTATATCTGCCCAAAGGCCGTTTTAAGAGTAGAAAACGTCTTTATGAATGTATAGGGGTACTCGAAGTACTCGTACGTTTGTTACAGAATGGGGTATACAGTGATTTTCGAAGTTGCTGAATCAAAAATCACCGTATATCCCATTCTGTAACAAACGTACGAGTACTTCGAGTACCCCTATACATTCATAAAGACGTTTTCTACCCTTAAAACAGCCTTTGGGCAGATATAAAAAAATATGTGTCAGATATTTTTCAATGTACTACATGTATGCACAGTCTTAGGGAAATCGGTGTATGGTACTTGGGTAGTGTTACTTGTTAGTTGGTTATTATTCTAAATAAATGAAAAAAAAACAAGTGATTACAGTAAGAGTAAAACAAGTAGTTACGTCATGCTATATTATCTGTACATATACTTGATTTTGTATGTTATAGCGCGATATAAGTATCAAAATGGCACGTGTACAATATATATGATAGTAACGATGATAGAATGATATAAAAGCGACGAATGCTGCTGCGCGCCCTCGCGTCGTAAAAATAACGCTGGCTAGTCTCATTATCGGCTTAAATTACATGCTACGCATCATATAATCTCGACGATGTATCGCAATGCAATGCATCAGCAATCAGCAAGCACACATTATCATAATAAAAAAATTTTAGTTAAACTATAGACATTTTCTTTTTCGAAAAATTTTGAATAAAAATTATGTACAGAGTGCTTTACATAAAGTTTTACAAGATTTTCTATTTAAAATTATCAAAGACAATAAGGAAAATAATAATAGAATGTACGGGCAGTGAGAGGGTTAACACAGCGCGGGAATTGATGCGCAATTTATATAATAGTCAAATAATATTCACATAACATATTAAAAATTGTACAATGTGACTATCAATACAACTTACGATAACAAACAGGATGTTTATTAAAAACGAGAATTAAAGAACACAGAAATTACATCAATAGAAAAACTTCCTGTGAATCTGTAATCACACAGCATAGGTTGGAACACAGCCATGAATTTGGGAGAATGTAAAAATCTTGGATATAGAAATACAACTGAGTAAAAGGCTCATATCTGAAATGCTGAATATTCAATGGCAATCAAATAGTTTGAATTTACAGTCAGAGTTTTTGCATCATTCTTATGCGAGTATTTTAGAGAGATTCAAATAGTGACACTAGGTATTCGCCTTTATTTGTTTGTTTTAAAGATTGACATTACATTGGTATGACGTATAATTATTTATTTTTTTACGGACGCTCTCAGATTATAATTTTGACGGTCATTGTTTGTTTGAATTCCATCTGGATAACACATGTTACAATTTTATATTTTATATTTTATATTTTATACTTAATGTAATAACGAAAATTTTTGCGTTTTGTAATCGTACCTTTTATAATTTAACTTACTACGTTTTGAATAACTGAGCGTGATCTATGGAGAAGGAGAATGAGTAAAAGAAGCATTGAATTCATTATATTGTATTATAACTGTAATAATTTTGCCTATTGCACTCTTTAGTTAGTCACTTGGTTAAACAGCGAAGAGACAAAAATTGGGCAATTCCCAACCAGATAGTAGGGAGATACTCATCTTTAGTCTCACATAGAGCATAATTTCAACAATTTCCAACTATTTTGTCAAGATATCTATGAAAATTATCTACGAATTTGCTGAAGATGGTTTGAAGAAAACCGAAATGTCCAAATAAGTTTGTGTTGACAGTCATTGTGTAATTTTTAATATATTATGTGAATATTATTTGACTATTATATAAATTGCGCATCAATTCCCGCTCTGTGTTAACGCTCTCATTGCCCGTATATTTTATTATTGTTTTTAATTTCGAGAGCCAGATTAATATTTAAATAAGGAAAATCTTTTACTAATTTTATAATCTATTCAGCAGGGCCGTTTCAATCCGAGGTGCAAGTGTACTCGGGCGGCCGTTTTGCAAGAACGGCTATAACGACCTTCGACGTGTCTTTAAAAGTAATTGTACAATCATATTGATTTTCATGTGGATTTTTATATTGTAATCGTGGTGTAGATTTTATTTGAATTTAATGAAGGTTGGTATGAATCGTTTTAGTAACGATAAAAAAGTGCGGCGCGAGCAGCGGAACGCTCTGCAACAAGCCTTTGAAACGGCGCGCGGCGTTGCTGTTGAGATCTTTTGAGTAGCAGACAGGATATTATCTTAATCATTCGAAAAAAAGAAGCAAAAGAGATAATTCTAAACTTTTTAATGGAATAATGTAAATATTTGCAGTTTTTGATAGATTTCTTTAAATTTATGATAATATTCATTTAAAATATTTTTTTCCTATGTTGCATAATTAAAAAGATTTTGACTTTTAAAGTATTCTTTACAAAATTTTGAAAAATTTGAGGATAAAGTTGTAAAAACGACATTTTAATTTTTTAATCAGTACAATACTTATCGTGCTATAACTATGATATGTATGTGTGGGAAAGTTTTACTTTATTTAAAAATTTATAATTTTAATTTCAAATTCTCAAAACTAATGTGATAAAATATTTTGCAATTTGAAAGTTGTATTGTAAATATTACAAGAAATAATTTCTTTCTTTGATTTTTTTTTATTAAACTACATATTAATTTTCATATAATTTTTCATATAGTAATATAATATATTCTTTCTTTGTTTCAGGTGATGCGACGGTGAGAACGCAGTGTCGCGGTACCATGTACTTTTCTTGAAAGTCAGTTAATTTTTTAATTAACCGTTTAATTATTTATATGATATATTCCTTTGGTATATTTTCGTGAGTGCTTAAAGCACGGTAAAAGTGCCTCGAGTGATCAGTTTTAAAAATCTGTGCTTGCGAAACGCCAATACATTGTAATGTTGGGTTTTCTTTGTGAACATCCTGAGCTCTGGCCGACGGGAGATGTTTCGTAAATGCAAGTTGCAGCAACGCGACAACTGCTGACCGCTCGATATATATAGATAACGCACACAATCGTAGAAAGTCACAGGAAAAATTTAAATCTAAATTGAATTTAAAATGCAAAGAATATAAATTGAAAAATAGAAAATTTGAAAATGAAAACAATGACAACAAGAAATTAAAGAACTTTAGAAAGATAATAACAGACACATCCTTTGAATTACCGATTGACGATCGATTAACAGTAGATCATGCTGGAAGATTTAAAAGGACGGAAAGCTTCTTAAAGAAAGTGTTCAGGAAAGATGACGAAAAATGTGATAGATTGCTTAGGACTATTAAAGGTCTATCGTTGGTGAAGAGAAATACCGAGCGGAATCTAGGTGTAAAGAAGAATATTCAAGAAGATTTTTTGTTATTGAGGGACAATATTCTAAAGAAAGCATTATTGGACAATATAAACAATCAGCAGAGTTTAATATTACAAAAAGAAGATATAAGAACAAATTTAGAAGATATTCAAAAGAAAAGTATTCAAAAGAAAGCTAACAGAAATTGTCAGAGTCCAGTGAAGAATATACAGGAAAACCCACGATTGTTGCAAAAAGATACTGAGGACAGCTCATTATTAGTGAAACAAAGTATTTAAGAAGAAGAATTATTAGTTGAAGGAGAAAAACCAGTTAAAATATATGATCAGAAAAATACAACATTAGTGAAGAGAGATAATCATCATGATTCTTTATTGAAGGAAGAGGGGACCAATAAAGACGTTAATAAAAATCTTCTGTTGCCAAAGGAGAATGCAGAATAATATTTGTTAACGAAAACAGATTGTAAAAGACAATTGACAGAAAAACATGTTAAGAAAGATTTATCCTCACCAAAGAATATCCAGAAGAATATAACTAATGAGATCTCCCAATTGACAACGAAAAGTATTGAAGAAAATTATTCCTAAAGAAATACATTCAAGACAATTTATCGCTGACAAGAAATAATATTGAAAAGAGTCAATATTTAATAAATAAAAGTGTGGTCGGCAATTTGCTATTAACAAAAGGAAATATTTCGATTGGTTCACTAATGCAATTAACGAAAATAAATATACAAAAGAATTTAAAATTATCAAAGAGTGTCTTTGAAGAAAACATATTTTTAATAAAGAAAGATTTTCGTAAAACTCCACAATTAACAACCAAAAATTCTTTATCACAGAGAAAAGACATTCCTAATGATCCAGAATCACAGTTAATAAAAAGAACTGTCCAAAATGACACTTTTCTGAAGAATCTTATTTCTTTAGCTGAAAAAAAAGAGAAAGATATTCCTGTAATTCCACAATCACAGTTAATAGAAAGAGGCATCTCAGGAAATCTTTTGTTGGGCCCTTATTCTCCTGATAGGAAAGTCATATTTTTAGCTAAGCAAGATGTTTCTTTTTCTAAAGAAGGACAAGACATTTCTGAAAAAAATGTATTATCGCAATTAACGAAAAACATTGTCCAGAATAATTTTTCTTGGTCGGAAAAACTTTTTTTTCGAAATGAAAGATATATTTATTCAATTAAGGAAAAGGAAAAGCTATTACAATTAACAAGAAGAAGAACTATCCAGAACAATTTTTTATTGAAAAGAAAACTGTTAATTATTACTGATGATCAAGCAGCATCCATCCCTTCTTTAAGACTTGAACAAATTAGGAGTGATTCAATACGTCTCCCTTATCAATCTGTCGTTTATAGACGCTATCCTCCAAAGGATATTCAGCAGACTTTTCAGGGATTTGGGAAGAAAGCGCGAAAAGGAAACAATAGTGTCTACAAAGTCAAGCTATCACCTCCACTGGAAGAGAACTGGCAGGGTCAAGAGTCAACGGGATTCGATAACAGCGGGTCAGCTGATAAATGCGATTCGATCGTGAAATATAAATTTATGGTTCCAAATCACTATGCGAAGCATCAGTCGATCGCGAAAACACCAGAAGAACATATTAAGATCTTCAAGATTTTTTCTTGTTTTAAACAGCTAATAGACATCTCCGAAAAAGTTTTACTAGTTAACTCCATCGTGGAATCCATTGAAAGTGTGGTAGAATGTTCGAATTTTGAAAAATATTCCAAGAGGAACCCGAAGAATTCGTTAACTATCTATATATACAAGGAAAAAGACTTTGGTGAAAACTTGAAATGTCAAATCATCAAAGTGCAAGAGTTCGAAAAAACATTGGAGGAATCAATTATTAAGATAAAAGATTCTGAAGAAATCTTGACAAATCAAGTTACAAAAAAAGATATTAATAACTCACCTTGAAGATAATAGATAATCTTGCAACTTCATATCATCAACAATTAATTTAAAGAGGTTCACAAAACCCCTTTGAATTATTCCTTATAAATCATCAATTTGGTAATCCTATAAATTTACAATTATTAATAGTACATTCTAAAACAGATCATGAAAAAAAAGCATCTTAAAGAACCCACTTAATAGGCTAAAGGATTCGATTACAAAGATAAAAAGTTTAGAAAAAGTTTTAAAAAATTCATTTGTTAAGATATATATTCACACATTGAAGAGAATCGATAATTTTGAAGTTTTAAATAACCAACGATTTATCCAAAAATCGTCCGTTTTTATATATCGTCAATCGGATAATTCACAGTTGCCATTAATTGAGCGAAAGTTATTGGAAAGAGAAAAGGTACATAGAACGATCAGCAAGAGACCCAATAAAAATACTAAAATGAGACTAAATGTTAGACTTATCCGTATTCGTGACAAGTTGGTTCTATGTTTGAGCGCGCTCGCCATCGTGTTCACGTTATTGTTAGTGATGGATTTACAGATGGACTTGGGCTACAGTGGCCATCATTTGAATCCCAGCCATGCTCGAGTCCGAATCGGTGATCCGCCGGAGACTGATACCGTTTACAACAATTTCCGTCGGAAATTTCTTCAACGAGGTAACGGCAGTCGCGAACAGACTAATAACGACGTAACGCCCATCATTGAAAAATCAAAGAAAAGCGGGGTAATGACATTGTCATCGATAAAAAAGCACGATGATTTCTCAGATTTGATGGACTTGATAGTGAACGGGTATGCAGTAAACGTTGATGAAGGAGTGGCAATAATTAGCAGAGAGGACAGGGAATATAATCCGACGATCAGAGAATTGAGAAAGATGACATTGAAGTGAGTATAACGAATTTTATGAAATTGAGCAAATATTCTTATTGAATATCATATAGTACAAATATTATATAAAAAATGCCAATATTTGTAAAAAAGAGATCTCAGAAATTATGTTTTATGAAAAATGGAATCTATATAAGAAACATATATTACATTATGCTTCTTACTTGTTGATTATGTTTTGACTTTTATGTTTCTTAAATATCTTTTTCATCTTCAATTTGTTGATTTAATTATAGAATATTTATGTGCAGCAATTAATTTTACTATAAAATATTTAAGTCACTAAAAAATATATTATATATACAGGGTGTTTGATAAGTAACGAAATAAAAGATAAATTGTAAATTGTAAAATTGTGATAGAGGACTTTTTTCTCAGTTTAGTCCATTCTGCCCCTGTGTGAAAAATTTATCGTTACTTGTTATTATATAAATTACTTGTTATATAAATACCCTGTATATATATTTATATACATATATTATATACATATATATATTATATATTTTTAATATTTAATTTACTTAATTAATTGAAATTTTCTAAATTTTTAAACTTTCTCATGTTTTTGATTACATCTTTTATTGTTAACAAAATTATATTTATGTGATAACACAAAAGCAGGTTTTTCCTAAATTTGTAATAAAATGCTCTCCACTAATTGTATTCCTTAAACTTATCAATCTTGTCTAATTTCTATTAATTCTTTGCCTTATATAATTTTTAAAAGTATAATTTTTTATCTTTTCTTCTTCGATGGGAGAACGGAGTTGTGGAATGCGAGTCGGTGTCGCATGCACGAGTGCGTTTGCCGTTTGCAAACGTAATTATACCGATGACAGTCGGAACGAACATACGTAATCTCAGCGTGCATGTATGTATTTATTTACGTGTACACACACATACAACGGAAATGTTGGTACAGGTGCGCGATGTTCCGTGGCACCTTCGTGGAACGGTGGAATTACATTTCGTTATAATCACGTAGTGAGAACGCATGTAAAGGTTGTTGTTGGTCTATTCGATCTCACATTATTGTTTCATCTTTCTAGAATGATTCTCACTTCATTAATTCAACGATATTTTTGGAGACATTGTTATTAAAAGAATAGAATAAAGTAAGACGTTACTTGTTCATCAAATTTTTGTGATTCTTATTTTAGCATGTATCTTTTTATCTTTATATACATTTTTTAAATTTTCTCAATCTTATTCATAATATCTACTGAAATGTACATATAACATAATTCTTTATGAAGTTCAAAGTTTTGAAGTTCAAGTTATTGATATTATTTTGATACATTTTGAGACATGAAAGTGACATTATGAACGTGATGCAGTGATGACGGAAGCGCAATGATTGCAGTTTCGATGGCGCCATATTTCCGTAACGATATGTAATTATCAAAGATAACACATAGAATTGCATACTTAATAAAACTTAAACAAAAACTTATTTCACTTTTGTTATATTACATTTATTGGATTAAGCTCACTTAATATGATCTATAATTCACAACAGAATTCAAAATATAATTCTATTTATAATTTTATATATCAAATTATACACTCTGTTAAATCTATAGTGTCTTTAACTTAATGTGAGTCGCCACTGCTCCTGGTTAATCATATCATTATTTTATACTAAAACAATAGTTATATTTGACACTATGCAGTGTCAATTTGACACTATATAATATCAAATTTAATCATCGTTTTAGTAAAAAATAATGATATATTTAATAGGATCAGTGGCGACTCACAATAGATTAAATTTGACACTATAGATTTAACAGTGTATATATAATCATACACAGTGGTCTTCAAGCGTTAATAGATACGTTGAAAATGTAACAAAAACTGAGTTTTACTTGTAGCTTTATTTGTAACCATTCATAGGTTAAAAAAAATGCAAACCCTAAAATCGTAGCTGATCATTTTTTCAAAATATCACAAAATTAAATTTTCTAGTATTTGTAGACCATATAAAACCATGAAATGTTATGTTGGATCGTATTATATATATGTATGTGTATGTGTGTGCATGCGTACGTGCGTGCGTGCGTGTGTACGTTATTATATGTACTTTATGTACGGAACACAGTTATATATATATATATATGTATATATATATATACAGGATCTTCAAAAAGTCCAGAAACGATCGAATATTTCGAAAATGAAGCATTTTTGAAAAAAATGTTTCAGACAAAAAATTGTAAGGTTTAAAATGATGTATTTACTGATCTAATCAGTTTGACCTTGGGTGGCGTCGCCAAAGCCAGATCAAGGTCACGTCGATTTTTTTAAATGGAACACCCTATTTTTCATTACATTTTCTTGTAGCTTACATCGAGAGCTTTTCAAAACACTATAATAAAATATTTTTTCATTAAGTATTTTTCGAGTTATAAGGTATTTGTCAAGATCAAGGCCATTGGAGATTATTCTTCTTATTTCCATTTTTATGTAAAAATGAATTTTTAGTGCAAAAATGAAAATAAGAGAAATAATTTCTAATGGCCTTGAGTTTGACAAATGTTATCCAAGACATGATCCTGAACAACATTCAAGAGGTTTTAGCCGTCGGTCGGACAACTTGCGTAATGCTAATGCCGACTGTACTGTAACTTTCGAGCCTTATGACTCGAAAAATACTTAATGAAAAAATATTTTATTATAGTGTTTTGAAAAGCTCTCGATGTAAGCTACAAGAAAATGTAATGAAAAATAGGGGGTTCCATTTAAAAAAATCGACGTGACCTTGATCTGGCCTTGGCGACGCCACCCAAGGTCAAACTGATTAGATCAGTAAATACATCATTTTAAACCTTACAATCTCCGTCATCTCAGTAGAGCGAGACGGAGCGAAAATAACAAAGAATAGGCGCCAGGGCTCCGCCTGAATTCAGGTCTGTCTGAGAGTCATAGAATAAAGGAGCCGAAGGAGAACGACAAAAAATTTCGAAATTGAAGTCTCAAGAAAAATTTTTTGTCATTATCGGCATAAACTCCACCTCACAGATACATATTAATGCGTATACTTTAATCATGGAAAAGGATTTTCAAATCTATAAAAGAGGAAAAAAATAATTGTTGTACAAAAATTATGATTAGTCGGTAATACAGATGGCTTTAGGAGAATCCCCCCTTAATAGCGAGAATCAACGTTAAGTCCAATGATATTAATATAGTCAAAGATGTAAGATAACAAGTCATGATGTGAAAAATACCTAATTAATATCAAATATAGAAACGTCTCCATGATTTTTAATGTTCTTACTATTGTCGAGTCCCAAGGATGACTCATTAACTGTTTAACATATTTCAAAATTACTGATACTTTATGTTAGTAGAGTATGCATGCAGGGCTGGACTCCTCGTAAGAAAGAATGATTGTTTGACACTCGAACTAATAAAGTTTATTGTGATAACACAAAAGCAGTATAAATCAAATCGATACACTTGTGATGACTGCGTATTACAAAAAAGTAAATAGTAAATAAAAAGGGCACGTGCCATATATGTGCGCAACAACCAGCGACATACGCCGGATGATTCTACTAACTAAAAACAGATGGAGCGCTGTAATCATAAAGCTCAGTATTCAGTAAAGACGCGAGAATTATAAAAATATACGCAACACTTTACTATAATAATTACGTTTTAGTAAAATTAATCAAATATATTTTATATGAAATTGTAAAAATAATTTCATATAATTAATAATTCAGGAAGGATTACATAAAATTTTTTGAAATACATATAGTGTTGTTCTATGATTACCATGATTTTTAGAGTAAATTCTAAGAGAAAATTCTCTCCGCATATAATCAGTTATTATACTAAAACTGCATTTCAAAATTAAGGAGTTACGCCACCTTGACCGCCTAAAAATTATAGGCAAAAACTTTGAGAATTTGTTTTAGCAAAACAATAAAAGTAATGAAAAATTTGTTTCAAGACTTTTATAGTACAAGTCTTTAGAAATAAAATTTTTTGGTTCTTTTTTAAAACAAAATGGCGACGCTGGAGCCGTTTTACTGTCGTTTTGCTATTAAATTGGCGTTGCGGAGATTTGATTTTCGGTTGGACCTGGAACAAAAAGAAAACAATTCTTATTATTTACATAATATGTATTATAGAATTAAATGACAAAATTACATAGTTTCTGAGATCCGCGCAACGCCAACTTTGAAAATATAGTTTCGAGAAAAACGGGGTTTAAAGTTTTTCTTTGCGATTTTCGTATGTTTAGTAGAAAATATCAAATTTATCTTTACTCTGCAATGCCTGCGTCATACAGCTGTCCTTCTACATCGACGTTTGTCTCATCTTCTTTTCTGCTCGTTCTGGATGATTCGTCGATCTAATCATCCATTTTTTATTTTACGAGTTCAGGTACTCCGAAGAGGGGGGAGATGTTCTGATACATTAAACTGCTATTGGCACTTCTGCGAGTTGATCGTCGATTAATTTAATCAGAAGTTGGTGAAAGAGGCCTTATTCAAATATATTATTTGTTCTATCGGTCGTTTTATAATAAGTTTTGATATTTTGCTTTGTAAATAAACAGCGTTTTACCTTATTTGTTTTTAAAATAAAATCCGCTTAAAATTAATTGCAAAATATATTTATATTTAAAAAAAACGTTATACTTTAGAATAATGTAATGGCAAATAAGTGTTTGTTATCTGCATCAATATTTTTGATGTAGAATCAATTTCAAGTTTTTTTTTTATGAAAGAATGAAGGTTATTATGTATTTTCTATTATATAGTTCTAAAATTCATTGTTATAATACGTGCCTGAAGACCTACCGCGCATTAGATCATGGTGAATTACGAAGGGAAATGCGTCATCAGCATATGTCCATTCATCGTATGTTACGTTAGCATTTCTCGTCATCTCATGTCACCTTGCGGCTCGGAATGCTGCTTGCATTCAATAACGATGACGAATTTCAAAAATAAATAATAACATTAATTCTACATACTTCT